CATATTATTTCTTCAAGTAAATATCAAATAACTGAATTTTCCAATTTTTATTCTTTGAGTGAATAACAGTTTATGAGATTCAATTCAAGCACCTAAACAATTTTTACAAAAGTTTATATTGAAGATAATATAATTGACTGCCAAAATTAGGATCAACTTTATTTGGCATCTTATATTTATACTTCAAGTACCCAGGGAATTATAAAAATTGCAGAAAAAGCTTAGCTCTATACGAAAAGGACAGTTTTTTAAAATTGCTATTAATAAAAAAGTGGTTCAATGATTTCAATGTCCACAAACATCTACAAAGATGAAGGTTCAACTTTTTAAAATATCAATGGAGCTTATGGTGGAATAGTTTCATGTTTTGGCTGTCTCATAAATATGAAAAATACAAAAATGATGAATATAAATGCAATTAGTGGTGGTTTGATAGCGTTAGTCGGATTTTGCAATGTACAATTAGATGGAATATAAGCACACGGAATTTCTGTACAGGAATAAGGTGGATTTCTGTTTGAACAATAGTTTTAATCAGACGTAGGATTTTAAAATGAAACAATTATAGTTTTAAAAAATAGTTAATAGATATACGATTTTTAAGCAAATGAAGGAGGCTTATTTTATATATTCTAAACAAGTACTAATCTCTTTATCTAAAATGTAAAGATACAAAATGTGAGATCAGCAACCAAAGGAGGCATATTTAGCATCACAAATGCAGAATTAATACAGATTGAAAATTCAATAATTATCGATATTTTTTCAGGCGATGGTGGCTTCATATACTCATCATCAAATCTTCTTAATATTCTAATTAGAAATACTAAAGTTATCTGTGATAAATCTTATGTATAACAAAATGAGCTTTATCAATATGTAAATAATAAAGGCTATGTCTTAGACAGTAAAGCTTATTTTGTTCTATAAAATTCAGCAAGCATAAGTCTCTATGGTAACAGAATTGAAAATTGTGGAAATTAAAATCTAGGAGGAGTATTTTCAATTCAAAAGACAAAATTTACAGACGAAAAATCTGTTTATTTATAAAATTCAGGCTTATATGGAGGAGTTATAAATGCTTAAGAATCAACCATAAATATATTGTCGTCAGAATTTTATAATAATTTGGGGAAAACGGGAGGTGTAATTAACGCTGAGTTTAATTCAAGTTTAACTATAAGATTTTGCATTTTTTAGAACAACAATGCTACTATCTCAGCAGGAGTTTTATTCTTAGCAACATAATGCAATTTGTATATCTTTGGAAGTACATTTTATTAAAATTACGCAGTCCAAAATTCAGTTTTAGAGATACTAAGTACTAATTTACTTAAAGATGTCATTGTGAGTAAAAGCTTATTTAAAGAAAATAAAGCTGAGAAAAATACAGTATCTATACTCTATTCTAACATAATCTTAAATGATAACAAATTTCAAGATAATTTTGCGCTATAAAAAACAAAAAATATTTTACTTGGATTTGTGAATATTACTATGAAAAACAATATTTTAGTAAGCAAGTAAATAGTTGATTATTAATAATCTTAATTAAAGGATGAGACTACAGGATCATTTAT